GATCTATAATAATATGTCTGTTAATAGCTGATTAATAATCTGGCTATCAGGCTTTTAGGAATTCTCTGGCATTATTGTTGTTCCGATTGTTTAAAATGTCTACATTCCTCAATCAAATTAGTGTTCACAGTTGTCTGCATATATATTCATATGGAAGGAAATATGTTGTGTCTTTTGGAGGCTAGTTTATGTTCTTGGACTCGTAGTCGGAGGGGACAACCATTTTGACCAATATATTGTTTATCCATGGTTCATACAGTTTAGTTTGTAGGTGGTATTGATCGCATCTTCTTTTGTTATTAGCCTGATCTTTTGGTTTGCACAGTCGGTGGATGAAGTGATTGTGTTGTTTTCTGTTCTCTATTTACTCCGAATGGTTATAGTAGTCTAGTGGTTGTTTCTGAAACATTCTCTCTATATATGGTAGGATGAATTTTCTTGTGGTTTCTTGAGGATAGTTTCTCTCAGGTAGTTTGATGTGGTGAAATTGTGGGGTTATCCCATTTTCCTTGAAGTCAGTTAATAAGTACTTCTCTTTTCCATTCTTCACAGGACTGGAGTGAGCTACACTGTGTTTTAGGTCTTTTGAATAATGTTTGTGATGATCTTTTCTAAATTGAGAACTTTCCAATTTGACAACACTCTTTACCGTCAAATAGATGGTGTAGCTATGGGCAGTCCACTTAGCCCTGTTTTAGCAGATATATTCATGTCCAACCTTGAAAGAAAAAAGTTGAAGCGTGAAATCGACGAAACAACTTCCTGCTGTCGATATGTTGATGACACATTTATAGTGTGCAACAGTGAAAGTCATGCTTCACACTTACTCAGATTATTCAATGATGCACACACCTATATTGAGTTTACTATGGAACATGAAAGTGACGGAAAGTTTCACTTCCTCGATATTGTCATGGAACGCCTTGAAAAAAGGTTGTCTTCAAAAGTCAAATCGAAAGCCTACATGGAAAGGACAATACTTACATTTTAATAGCTTTTCTCCAAATAGCTTTAAACGCGGATTAGTAAAGACTCTGTACTATAGAGCGAGGAGAATATGCCCTATAGAAAAATTAGAGGAAGAATTTGAGTTTATTGAAAAGATATTGAAGAGCAATGGGTACCCTCAAAGGTTCATCAACAAGTATGGAAGATCTGAAGTCACAAATGTAAAACAAATCACAGTAAAAAAAGCCAACCTACTTTCAGCTTGATTATAAAGGTGAAAACATTTCAGCGATGATCAACAGAAGGCTGAGCACATCACTAGCCATAGCCTGTCCTGCAGCTAAGCTCGTTCCCGTCTATCGAACAAATTGCTCTCTGATGCAATCGAAAATCGATAGATATCCTTCTCATGTTAACTCCAACTGTATATACAAATTTACACATATATGTGGGAGCAGTTACATTGGAAGAACAGAAAGAAGGGTATATCTACAATTTTCTGAACATGTACTAAAAAGCTTACGTCTAAAGGGAACAAATGCTTTAAACAGTGCCATCGCCAGGCATCTCGACACGGGTCATGAGGTGGACGTCGAAAAGTCGTTCAAAATTATCAATAGGCAAAAAAGTTCAATTCTCCTTAAGTTTGCTGAAGCCATTTCCATCAAGCGCCTGAAACCTGATTTATGTGTCCAGAAAGAAGCGGTTATCAGTCTTTCTTTGCCAACCTGGTAACTGGATATTTTTTTATCTCTCTTTCATCTGAATGCGAAATGCTGAAAAGTTTCCATTGTGTATGATTATTATTGTTCGGAATAGTGTTTAATATTGCATATATATATGTATATATATATATCGATTGATTTTTGTTTAAAATGAACTCTGTGCAAGTATGTTAAAATTGTTTTTGTAGATATACTTAATAATGTCTTTGCCCTGTAAGCAGCTGACGAGAAGGTAACGAAATAAAAGATGGTACCACTTTATTCTGCAAAAACTGTAGTTCTTGCTTTGTTCAAATGATCTTTTGTTTGGAATTCTCATTTATATGCATGACATTCACTCTTTGAAGTATTAATATGCCAGTTATGTCTAACTATGTGTAGAAATATTACATCAGAAGATCAGAAAATTGGTAACGGACTTTTTTATTACTGAAAGGCACCTCATATTTATACATTTTTCACCACATTAAAAGTCATGCTGGGGCAATGGACAATAAATTGTTTTGATTGGTCGGTTATCGGCCCAAGGTTAAACAGTGAGATAAGAAGTTGTCCAATAAGATTATTTCATTTCCACAAAGTAAACTAGATCTACGTTTGAAGGGTAAACACTTCTACCTCTGTTGCAGCCGCTGACTTAAAATGTTAATTTCAATTTTGGCCACTTATCTTACCAGTGGCCCACGCTACAGAGCTATAGTAAGTAGTAGCACTGTAGTAGTGTGTGATGAACGATCTAATATGTGTGTGGTTAACCCTGAGTGGTTAAGTAAAGAACTAAAAAAATCTATTCACAGCGTTATTCTATCTCATCTTGTAGATACAGAACACAAGATTGATGTTAACCATGCTTTCAGGATTATTTACCGCATACCAACAACTCTCAATTTCACCTTAAGAGTTCGACTACTAATTATTGCTGAGGCTGGCTGTTGGGATCCATATTAAGAAGCCTAATTTATGCGTCCAAAAGAAGTTAGTTCAGACATTATCATTACCCGCTTGGCCATCTAGGTTTGAATGATCCCGAATTTTTGTGCAATTGTCCTAATTTTAGTTGATATTCTATTTGCTACTATATCTTTATTATTATAATAATTTAAGCATCTTTAATGAACTGTAATTCCATTGTGGTCTTACTTAACAAATCGATATTATTTAAAAAACACTAATATTGTAATTGAGTACTATTCTAGAATTTTCTATGTATATAAACATATGTGTACATATCATTGTAGAGCCAGAAGAGGAAATTATCGAAAAGGATATTCTTTCACCAATTATTTTGTTCAATGATCGCGCTTCTTATTGCTCCACTACCACCTTTTCGTAACCATGCAGGATAGTGTTCTTGCACCCTCTTGGACAAAACTCGTGTCGAACGACCGATATACCTAGCTCCACAAGAGCAGGTGAATTGATAAACACACATAGAGTTGGTCAACAGCGGGATTTTGTCCTTCAGGTTATTGAACAATAATGGTCGACTAGAAAAGGCTATTCTCAGGGATGCAGCAGGGAATGTTCTTTTCAGGGATTGTGATATCCTCCGTTTCATGATATCGGAAGCTAAGTCCCCTTTGAATTCCAAGCTCATGTAAAGTGTCTTCTTGGGTACGGTTGATAACTCACGTTTTTTAGGATTTGAATGAATATTCTTATCTATAAAACGTGGTGGAAATCCATTTTCTATTAGGACTTTCCTCAAGATGTATAGCTCATCTTCCACAGTATCAGGGCTACATATGCGCCGAATACGAGTGGCAAGCGACCGGATCAGGTTTCGTTTTCGACCAATGGGTACCCAACTGTAGAAATTTGTCAGTTGACCATTCCATGACAGCTTGCGATAAATCGATCTTTTCAGGGTTCCATCGGTCCTTCTTGATAAGTTCACATCGAGGAAATGCATGCTAGACTCGTTCTCCATTTCGAGTGTGAATTTTATCGCCGGATGGCAACCATTAAATACATCTAATATATTATTTAAGTTACAATCACTATTACAAATAATAAAGGTGTCATCTACGTACCTTTTATACATTTGAAAACTTTGGATTATAGGCTTCAGCTGATCATTTTCTAGACTGGACATAAAACAGTCTGCAAGGAGAGGACCCAAGGGAGAACCCATTGCAATACCATCCTTTTGTTATATAGATGTGTTATATAGATGTCTGAATGAATATTTTCCCTATATTAATATGTAATTGCCATATATATAATTGAAATTAATAAAGAAGTAAGAGGTGAGAAAATAGACTTAGGTCAAGTTTAAAGGACATATTCAAGGTCAAAGTAACAATGAAGACCACTAAACCAAATAACAGAGGTAATAGTACATCTGCTATGGTATCAAAACAAAATATATATAATTGGTTGAAGGATTTCATCATTAGATGACATCAGCTAGAGAACCATTGGAAACCCTTGGTGGATGCGTACTGGTGAAGAGTCCCAAACTAGGACGAAACAGCTGTCCAGTACTCCTTGCAGGTTTTCCAATGGTTCTCTAACTCACGTCAACCCATGGTGAAATCCTTCAACCCATCAAAGGGAAATCCCTACAAAACAAGTACTTGAAAATTGACCTGATGCTCATTAGCGACTGGCCCTATTCAGGCAGTGACCTGGGGTTCTAATGGGAAGCCGTGTCCAGTAGGGCGCAGCAGGTTGATGGTGAGGCAGTAACTCACCGAAGAAGACGTTGTGAAGTGGTGCCTCTATGTCATGAATTGGTAGAAGTTAGAAGTCATACAGTGGCCACTGGATCGGGTCCCAGTGGCTTAATGATCTACGAGCTCACTGGCCTTATAACCAGAAGATCCTGGGTTGGAGCCTTGTCGGTGGATGCGTACTGATGAAGAGTACCAAACTGGGACATAGGAAACAGCTGTCCAGTACTCCCAGTGCTGGTTTCCCAATGGTTGTCTAAATGATGTCAGCTGATGATGAAATGCTCCAACCAATCAAACAAAAATCCCAACAAAACCAATACTTGAAAAAAATCTTTTGCGATCTCCAAGATCTGTGAAAACTTCATGTTTCTCCGTGTAATTATTCCTTCTTCTGCACATTTTCTACCTTTGTGTGCTATGCGGATGTGTCGAACAGAATTGCTGAACTTTTGTATCTGTGTGTGTGTCGTCGAGTACTGTTGCATATCTATCGTGTCATGTATTGACAAAAGTATAAAAATAACATTTTTCTGAAAGAATTCGGTGCAAATGTATTTTTACATGACTTCTTTGTGTCACAATACTACTACTACTAGCACTAATAAGTAAGATTCTAATAATATCCTCATTTTTACTTCTACTGTTTCAGATAAACCCTCAACTGTTACCACGTAAAGAATGCGGACGTCTAACAGAATCACAAGTCGATGTCTTAACTCATGATTACCCCAATGATGTGGCAATTAGCTATGGACAGTATGTTACACCAGCTACAGTACCTGGAGCTGAAGTTATTGTCTTAGCTGCAGAAAAACTTGGCAAAAAGAAGAATCATCAATCTTCTGAAGAATCTAAATGTATTGAAAACTCAGAAGAATGTACTAAGGAAGGTATTATTATTATTTTATTATTATTTGAAGCTATCTGTTCTCCTTGTGAAATTTAATGTCCTTTGAGTGAGTATATAGCGCTTCTGTTTCAATATCCCAGAATAGGTTGAACTGAGGTGGTCGATTACGGTTTGAATTTCCTCGGGCAATTGTCTCATGTATATGCTTTTATATCACGTGGTTAGAGAAATGCTGTAATTATGTCAGATTTCCCAATTGTCTGGTTTTTAAAAGTATTTTATCGACTTCTGTACGCAGCTGGAATGTCCGTTGTAGCATTCGCTATACTATTCGCGAAAATATCTCGCTACAGCTTTTTATTCTCACCCACATCCTAGTGCTGTCTTTTTCAATAATATTTTTCAAGCTACTTATAAGTAGTGCACAACTGTTATTCAAAAATATTCTGGGTTAATTTCCTTGTTATCTTTTCCATCTATGATTAAGGTGATATGTCATGGGAATCGTGTTCAGATGATGATGACGATGAAGAAGACTCAGAAGATGGCGAATCATCTGGTGAATGGGTAGATTTATCGCATTCTTCAGAAGAAGAGAACGAGGAAGAAAACTCTGCTGATGCTGTGGTGGAAGGCAATGATGTTGAGGAAAGTCAATCGAAGAAGAAGAAGCCAAATATTGATCCTAGTGTTTTAAAAGCTGAAGCTTTAGAAATAGCCTCTTCAAGAGTATTTGCACAAGAAGAGTTTGAAGCAATGCGAAAATATCAACAGACAAAGCAGGTAGGTATATGGGTGAATAAATTAGACGCTGTTAAATATCAATAACTTATTTGCTTTATAGTTCGGTAATGAGGTGTCAGGGGTTCAGCAGGTAGAACGCTCACCAACTACGCCGCATGTGGCTCGAGGTTCGACTGCCGGCCGACGAATCCGTAGACCTCGGTTAACCGGTAGAAAGGCCGGTCGATAAATAGGGGAGGTTGTGTGTGAGGCTAGTCACTGCTACCGAAACTCCAAAGCTTTAGCTTGAAGCCCTATGTCCCACTCAGAACGTAAGATTACTTCAATAGAGCCATTAGTCAGTTATACAGTCCCGTCTAAGTACAAGACAAGAGCTGATAATCAAGTAGAATATTTTCAAATAGGTGGTGTCAAAAACTCTGTCCACAAGAATCACACAACGATGCTTCCCACAGTTGATCTGGTACACACAATTCTGTCGGTTGTTTTCTTCTATTTTATCCTTAACCTTCACCAGTGATGAGTGTAAGGTGTCTGTAGCACAAAAATATAATCTCTTATATCATAACTGTTAAGTATTCGCCTTATCTTATCCGATGTTTCTTTGCTGTAAGAAATCACCACTGTACTAACTCAAGTTTTAGCAACAGATTTCGATTAATCCTTATCTTCACATTTTAAATATCTTTTTATGAAAATTTCGGGATAATTATTTGATTCGATAGTGGATTGAACCAATTTTAGTTCCCTGCTGATCTATTCCACCCTAGTGACTAAACGTGTGGTTCTGTTAATCAGATTCTTGGCCACAGTTACTTTGGTGTTAAAGGGATGTGCTAAAAAGTAGTCTAGTCCGAATGTGTCGGCTTTCTGAAAGTGTTCATTTTGTGTTTACCATCTGGTTGTCTTTTTACTAAACAGTCCAGGAAGGCCAAATTATTTGGGTCGGATTCAACCTCCTTGGAAAACTTGATGGTTTCTGACTTATTTTATATTAAGGGAAAAAAGTTCATTTAACTTACTCCGTCTGATTATGACAAGGTATCATCCAAGTACCTTAACTACATTCTTGGAGGACTAGAGAGCACCAACCTCATTCAACAGCTGTATGACAATTGGCACGTGTCAAGTAATCCACAATAGAAAACTCAGTGAAGCATTTGAGCTGAAGACAGGAGTTAAACAAAGCTGTCTATAATCACCGATGATCTTCATAATTGTGGTGGACTGAATTATACATCAGACTCCGGATGGGGAGCCAGAAGACAAGGATACGCTGGTACGATAGGAGAACTCTAGAAGACTTGGATTTCGCGGATATCTTATGTCTAATGTCACACAAACTCGAAGAATTACAGGTGAATGACAGAAAAAGCAGCAAAGACAAGATTTCAAGTGATCAGCATAGAAAAGACGAAGGTGATAAAGGTATCCGATAACCAACCAACAAGAACAGCTACAACCACCAGTCACTATCAACAGAATGAATTTGAAAAAGGTAACTTCCTTCACTTCGTTTGGCAGAATCGTTTCAACTACATATAATGACACGGTTGAAGATGTTAAAGTCAGAATTAGAAAGGCAAGATACACATTTATCGATCTGAAATCAATTTGGAAATCTGCTGTACTCAACACAAGGAACAAAATTAGGATTTCCAACACCAGTGTTAAGTTAGTCAGCTCCTTTATATACATCAGAAACATGCACTGCACATCACGAAAAGTATTTCCAACTAGTTGCAGATTTCTATCAACAGTTGCTTTCCTTGGTTCCATTGTGAAGATTAGATAGCCAGTCAGAAAGAATTAGCAACAAGAAACTCTGGGGATGAACCGATCAATAACCTGTTGTTCAACAAATATTCTGAAGTAATGAGAGATGGGGTGATAGAGCTCTGCAAGCTTTAAGTGGGACCCAAATGGGGAACGATGAGTTGGGTATCAAAGTATGACATGTAAGTGATCGTGTGAGGAGGAGGAGTTGAGAGACTATGGGCAATTGTGGAGCCAGCTAAAGAGGATCACAGAGAGCAGGACAAAGTGGAGATGATGTGTTGTTGCAGCCCTATGTTGCAGTCTGAACCCAAGGGAAGAAGGTCGCCAAAAAACTTTCAATTTAATTAACGCCAAATTAATTAACCGAATTCCTGCAAACCAATACTTGAATATCAATGGAATGCTCACTGGCGACTGGCCCCATTCAAATTACCTGGGGTCCTGGTGGGAAATCGTGACCAGTAGGGTGCAGCAGGTCGGGTGTGAGGACAAATACTCGCTGAAGACATTGGCTAGCGGTTGCGCTATATCGTGAATTGGCAGAAGTTAGAATTCATGGACTGGAGATTGGATAGGGTCCCAGTGGCTTAGTGGTCTACAAGCTCGCCTTGTAACCAGAAGGTCCTGCATTGAAACTCTGGTGGTGGATGCGCACTGATGAAGAGTCCCAAACTAGGCTGACGAAACAGCTGTCCAGTACTCCCAGTGTTGGTCTTCGAATGGTTCTCTAACTGATGTCAGCTCATGATGATATCCTGTAACCAATCAACCAAATCCTTACAAACGAATATTTGAATAACGCCTTTTTATTTTACTTTGTTTCTTATTCACTTGTTCAAATCTTACAATACAGTTTAGTACTTGATCAGTATATCTGCACACATTTATCATCATTTGATTTAGTTCCCAGAAAAGTTTCCACAGTACTAGGATTAATTATAAGAGATTTACGTGTCACTTCTTGCATAATAACATCATCATCTTCTATCAATGCATTCATGGTATCTTTTATTTGGAACCTATCAAATTTCTGTTTCTATAGAAACGTTTTGCATCCTATGGTTCTGTACGCAATAAACAAACAGATTCATACTTTACCATCGATTCTGATGAAGATGAAAATGACAATGGTATCGGTGTACAAAATAAAGATGGCAGCCTTGGGAATCTAGTCAGTATGAGCGCAATTACTCGACTGGTGAAACGTCCACGTCAAACAAAAGCAGAACGTATGGAAACAATTGAAGAAGGTCGTATTGGACGTGAAAAATATGGTTTTAAGGTAATGAATGTTTGTTTTTGTTCTCTTTTTCTGTTGTTGTCGTTTATCATTTGAACATTGGTATTTACTTCTAAGTTCTATTTGTTTATGGAATGACTGACTGACCGACTGACTATGTCTCAAGGTAGAACTTTGCGTAGAAGTGTGGCAGTTCAAGTTTAGGCGTACAAAGGCAAAGGAGAGAAGAAAAATCATGAAAACTATTAATGAACAGAAATTTACGGGAAAACATCACGACTTTCTGCTTCTGAAACATTACAGTCAGTGAATACATCTGCATTATTGAGAATCATTTCGACAATAGTCTCAAAGCATTGGATCTGAGACTCCCGAGAACCTCAGCTAAGCGGTTTACGCCTCCCTATATGGCTGGTTCGTCGTAGACTTCATGGACTGAGGTTATGCTTTGATTTGACACTAACTAATCAAGTGAAACAAACACCCCTGCTGGTGATAATTAGACGTACGTGATGCCTTGGATAAAGACGATGCTCAGATTTCTATATGATGCTTCTGCAAATTTTGTTGCATGATTCCAAGTGTCTGTGTACCATAAGACTAAAAAGTTGCCTCAAAGGAGCATCATTCGCCACTCGCTATTCAACAAAGTCTTTTTTAAGTATTCCGGGGAAGAATAACGATGAGAAATAAAGGAGGAAGAGGCAGAATTTAAGAGTTAATGAACTCTAAAAGTTGAGACAGAGTAAAACGCGATTTTCTTAACTTCTCAATGTATAGAAGATTAGATGAAATATTTTTCTGAATAAAAACTACATACTACTAGGTGATTGAGGTGAGTAGTTGCATTCAACACTGACACGTCAACCAGTAGTAGTACATGATTTGAGAAGGCCAGAAAATGATCAGAAAAAAGGCACAATCCAAGTCACGGAATGTATACATTAGATCATAGGAAGTATTAAAATGACGGTCGCAGCAAAGAAAAGTTTCTTAGAATAAAGAAAGGATAATACTACCTCGTTTTGTTTCCTGGACTCTCTTCAACTGCGTACATCCTCATATGTTACAAAATGCTGTCTGGACATACTTTCTACAATGATTTCAAGTTATAGATAGAAAGCATAGGCAACATAATTTCAAAGATGATGTAAGTAGACAATTATTTCGTGTTAAAAGAGTAACTATTTATATAGTAATTAGAAAAAGCGGGGTGGAATTCAGATTCATCTTGGAAACAAGAATGGACTAAAGACAGCAGCAAAGTGTTCTCAAGCGCAATCACCAGACACCTAATTGATATAGGACATACAGTGGAAATCGGTTAGGCTTTTAAAATAATAACCAATACGATGATATTAGATGATTGGAGGCAATCGGCAGGAAGCCTTAGACCTAGGTTTCGTGCTAGTTGGCACTCAGCAGTCGGCAAGGCGTATCTGCAACCTTGAAGGAACTCATGTCCCTTCTGAGATTCGAACCCGCATCACCTAGTGCTGCAGTCAGAGACGTTACCACTGAGCTATTCGGGCTCGCGATTGACCTCCTGTAGAACTGTAGTGGATATTTTGACTGGATACTAGTAACTAGCGTGATGTGCCTAGTCCTTTCTTTGGTGTAGACTGAATTCTATCAGTCAGGTTTGTAATGTGGCCACCATTCTAGATAGCTCACCATCACGGTGCACATTGATTCGATGATATTAGATGGTTGGAGGCAATCGGCCACAGGAAGCCTTGTACCTAGGTTTCGTGGTTACTTCGGTTCGCAGAAGCCATTGCCATTAAAAGACTTTGACCCAACCTATGCATACAGAAAGAGAGTGTGACTAATCTCTTACTACCTTGGTGACCATAAATGTTTTCTTTGTATGCTTTTGTGTTTTGTTCTGTTGTATAGCATTCCACTCAATCTTGATTTTGATTTATCACTGAGTTGAACTCACTATTAAGGTTTCAAATTTACTAAATTAGATTATTTTATTTAGTTTTATAATTTTACTTCATTATTCATCCCCACTCTCCTGAGCTCTTTCTTCATGATGATATATATAAATTAACTCTGTTCTTCAATCTTGTATTTTTGTCTCTAGTCCATCCTTGTTTCCAAGAGAAATCTGAATTCCACCCTCCTTTGTTTAATCACTATATAAATAGTTACTCTTTTAACACTAAATAATTGTCTACTTACATCATCTTTGAAATTATGTTGCCTATACTTTCTATCTATAACTTGAAATCATTGTAAAACTTATGCTCAGACAGCATTTTGTAACACAGAAGGATGTACACAGTTGAAGAGAATCCAAGAAATAAAACTAGTTCGTATTATCCTGCAAAGATGTTTATTTTTTCTTCATTCATACTGATAATGGGGACCGGTCTCATGAAGAAAATTTTCTTTTCAACGAAGTCATCAACTAGGTTGTACATTGATATATTTATTGTGAATGTCTGAGAATGTTCCTGAAATATATAGGCTTTAAAATGTAATAATGCGTCGGTGGCACAGCGGTAAGGACGCTCGTCGACCATGCACATGGGCCGGGGTTCGATCCCGGCCGACGCATTCCTTTACCTCGCTAAGCCAGAAATAAAAGGTGGTGAAAAGGGAAGGTTGGGCATGAGGCTAGCAACCCCATCCTATAAAAATAAACACTACTACAGAAACTTCAAGCTTCTAGCTTGAAGCCCTATGTTCCATTGAGAACGTGAAGGAATAAAAAAATGTAATAATAACAAAATAAACAGGATTTCGGATAAAAAACAAACAAACATAGTAGTGCAAATAGCAATTTAGAAAATGTAGATATTAAGACAATTAAACAGGAAGGAAAGTGTAATAGGATAATCAGTATTAAGGGAATTGACTCTTTATGTAATGGTCACAGTAGAGACAGAGCTTAGACGCATTTCTTTTGGATACAGAGTCTGGGCTTGAACTTTTAAATTACTAGTGCCTTACAGATATTATCCACGACATTTAATATTCTACTTAGTTTCATGTTCAGTGCCTTCTATGATATAAGGAATCATTAGAACGAATCAATTCATGTAAATCACCTTTGCGACTGCAAGTGAAATTCACAATTTGACACTTCAGTGAGTCGTGAACTTAGACGACACAGCTATGAAGGGCTGCTTAGTTCTTCACAGTGATTTTCTTATTGTTATCTATTCATTTGCGCCGGTAGTGTAGCGGTATCATGCAACCTCTCATGGTGCTACCGGTCGATCCCTGCCGACGCACACCCGAAATCTATGGTCGGCCTGCAAAATTTGGGCTACCGATATTCATGCTGAAAATTCCATACTTGTACTGAAAATACGGTCTGGAATCAAGCTGTAATCAAAAATAAAAAAAAATAAATATAAATTCATAAAGCGTATATTTACGTCTTTATTTTTATGTGCCCCCCTCCTACTCCCGCTTTATTTTCTTTGCATCCTCAAGGTGAATCGTATGAATGCCCATGCAAGTACAACAAATCGTGAAAAATCAAAGAATAAAGCTTTCCAAATGATCAAACACAAAGTTCGTCGTAAAGTAAAACGTAGCTTTCAAGAGAAACAAGTTGCACTAAGAGAACATTTAAAACGACTGATGAAGCGTTCACGATGAAACACAACAAAACACAGACAACATGAGAACAATAATCAACTTGGTTTGTATCTTTTGTTATTGTTGTTGATTGGATTGGATTGATCGATTGATTGTTTTTTCGTTTTTTTTCTTTGCTATTTCAATGTATGTTTTGCATGGGTGTGTAATATTTATGCCTGCGTATGACCTGTAACCATCTTATGCTCTATTCACAATTGGTGCTTGCTTCTTGACTGAGTGAGTGTGTGACGTAATAAATCAATAAATTTATGAAAATTGGCTTTTTTTTTCAAAGCAACAGTTTTTGTATATAGAAAAAAGCACTATTTTGCTTTGTCATTGATAATTTAACGATATTTTTTCAAATTTCATGTGTGTGTGTGTGGATGTGAGGAAGAGTTTGCCTGATTTATCTTCCCCTCCTGTACACCTTTTCATTGCTTATATATGTAACATATATATAAATTTACTATTACATGCCGCCTAAGTATTTGTGTATAATATATCAGAGGGGCAAATGATTCTTTTACACGCACACATTAACTTATTATTACTATTAATATAAGTTGGCGAATTTTGACAAATATAACGCCTATCAATGGATAATTATGTCTTTTCCTATCACAATCTATTTCATCAACCTTTCGAGTATGTATTGGTATCATATATGGGGAGTTCACAGTCCTACACATTGTCTTCAGTTGGGAGGTGTTAGGACAGATGACCTTATTTATTAGTAGTGAAGTCATAATTTATGCATGCACTGGCATGATAATCTGATTGGACAGTTCTTGATTCTCAAGTATTGGTTTGGTAGGGATTTTGTTTAATTGAATGGAGGATTTCATCATGAGCTAACATCAGTTAGAGAACCACTGGAAAACCTGGGAGTACTGGACAGCTGTTTCGTCCTAGTTTGGGACTCTTCATCAGTACGCGCCCACCGGGATTTGAACCCAGGACCTTCTGGTTACAAGGCGAGCTCGTAGACCATTGAGCCACTGGGACCCGATCCAGTGGTCCTTGAATTCTAACTTCTGCCAATTCACGACATAGCGCGACCATTTCGCAATGTCTTCTTAGATGAGTTACTGCCTCATCTTCAACCTGCTGTACCCTACTGGTCACGAGCTCGCCTTGTAACCAGAAGGTCCTGGGTTCGAATCCCGGTGGGCGCGTACTGCTGAAGAGTTCTTGATTCGTTTATTTCTGGCTTAAATTCCTGAGGTTTCTTTTCCAAATATAAGATATCATATGTGATAAACGCTGTTGCTGTGTTGTTGTTGTTGTTGTAGTTGGTCGTCGTCTATCACAGTCTATCTCAGTGTGAGAGATGTTTTCAAGTGATCCTGGAGGCACGTTGTAAACACGTTAGATGACCCCACAAGTCTGTAGCACTATATCATAACATATTCCATTCAGTGGGAATAGTCCTAAATTCTAGTACAGTCAGGTATCGCTCCGTCTTAACAATTCGTTTTCTTGTAATAAGCAGAAGATATGTGCTATTATATTAGTATTGTTCCTTTGGGTTCCGAGTGGAACATAGGGCCTCAATAGCACATCTACATTTTGTCCTGTCCTCTGAGGTCCTCTTTAAGTGGGTTCATAATTGTCCATATTCTTTCATCTCCTCCTCGTACGGTCGCCTCCATGTCATCCTTGGACCTACATCTAACTCGTCGTTCCCCGTTCAGACTCAACGATCTTAGCGTGTGCCCGATCCATCCCCTCTTACTTTGATATATTTGTTGAGCAATAGCTTCTTGACTGGTTTGTCCCCAGAGTTCCTTATCGCTGATTCTTTCTGGCCGGCTATCTAATCTACACTATGCGGTCAGCAGAGGCAGATGTGTTGATAAAAGTCTGAAGCAGCCAGTTGCAAATGCTTATCGTGATGCTCAGTGCAAGTTTCTAACTCATATAGAATAATCGACTGACTTAAAATTTGTGTTGAAAATCCTACTTTTGTCTCTTGTGTTGTGTTAAGTAGATTTCTAAGCAGATATCAGAACGATGAAGTTCTGCCTCACCTTTCTGATTCTAGTTTTGATATCGTTATTTGGTAGATGGTGGAATTCAGGATGAGAATTTCGTTCTATTTGGGTCTCGTCAGCTGGGCATACCTGCATTTCCCAGTTAGTGATGATGTTCCCACCGACGCTCGAACCCAGTGTCCATAAAGGGAAATGCGCATCCCGGAATCCGCTGCTAGTCACCATCCACCAGTTAACTTCTGATTAGATGCCCAGACATCGTCAAAGCATCTGCACAAGAAGCCGACATGTTGACCTGAGACAAAGCACTTCGGTCCAATTAATCGACAACCGAAAAATCTAAAATTTAATTAAATTGCTATCGTTATCCTTGCTGTCGCCTGTATTTGAAACGATGCTGCCTAAATAAGTGAGAGAAGTGCCATCTTTCAAATTTCTTCCGTTGATAGTGTGATTGGTTGTTGTTGTTGCCAGTTGGCTATTTTTATCGTCTCTCATCTTCTCTGTCTTTGCTGTCAGTCTCTTCCAGTTTATCGGTTATCACCTGTAACTCTACGCTTTTTGTGACATTGGACATAAATCATCCATGCTCGAAATCCAGATCTCGCCTAGTTTAATGGCTCGCCAGCTTTCTAGCCAGTCCTAAGCCCCGAGAAAGAGGAAGGGTTGGACATTGAGCTAGTCACCCTACCCCGGAAAACCAATCCAATTAAACAAGAAAAAGATATGTACTACTGAAACGATAATCCGGGATATTGTAGTTAGTAGTTTTACTGTATGTTGTTGACTGGAGACTTATTTTCAGCAACATAGAGGAATGTTTTTTATGGAGTTCATTGGTGGTGATGATTGTAAGTCTGACAGTGTAGGAATTTTTAATTCATTTTCAAACAAACATGCCATCGAGTATCAAAATTATTATAATATTATTATTGTTTCCTTCAATTCCTAGAGGAACATAGGGCTTCAACCGTGCGTCCCCATTGCGTTCGGTTCTCTGCTAGAGTCTTCACCTGGTTCCACGTCTGCCCATATGCTTTCATTTCCTCTTCACATGACCTCCTCCAAGTCACCCTAGCACTAACGACCAACTCGCCGCTTCCCTTTCGGGTTCCACTCGAGCGATGGCTTGTCTAGTGATGTCACTTGATCGTTTCCTCAGAGTATGGCCAGCCAATCCACCTCCATTTCTTCCTGCCTATTTGTTTCACAATCGGTTCCTGCTGTGTTGGTTCGCTCCCAAAGATCCCTGTTGCTGATCTCTTCTGGCCATCTGATCTTGATTATTGAGCGAAGACAGCTATTGATGAAGGTGTGTAGTTTATTGAGGTGCTCTTCATGAAGCGCCAAGTCTCTGATCCGTATAGTAGCACTGACTGACTTCACACTGGAGTTGAAAATCTGGATCTTATTTTTGATGCTGAGTGCTGTTGACCTCCACACAGACTTGAGAGTAGTGAAAGCTTGTCTTGCTTTTCCGATTCTTGCTTTGATATCCTCGTCATTTCCGTCCGTCTGTAGTTGAAACGATGCTTCCCAGGTAGGTAAAAGAGGTTGTTTCTTTCAGGTTCCTCCCATTTATGCTGATCGTTGTCTGTTGTTGTTGTTCATGTCCAGAAATCTTCATTACCTCTGTTTTCTCTATGTTCACCTGCAGTCCTATCTTTGATGCTTCTTCTGCCAACTTGTTGCTTTTCACTGGCATATCTTCCTCTTTGTGGGAAATCAGACATATATCATCGGCGAAGTCCAGATCCTCCAAGTCTCTTTTTGTGTGAGTCCATTTTATGCCTGTTTCCTCATTGCCCGCTGTTTGTCGCATTATCCAGTCTACTGCAATCAGGAAAATCATTGGCGATAGTAGGCAGCTAGCCTTGTCTTACTCCTGTCCTCACTTCGAAGGATTCCGTAAGTTTCCCGTTGTGGATTACTAGCAATAAAAGTAAAGAACACCTGAGTCAGCAGAGATCTCTTGTTTCGTTACCTCACTGTACAATTAGTTACTTAGGGGGTTATCTACAAATAATATTAATCGACAACGGAGGTAAGTGTTTAATGTCAGTTAGCAAAGAAATAAATTAAAGTGTATGAGTAATGACAATGTTTAGAAAATCGTGGATAGTCCTACGTAATCGATGGGTGTGGTTGACAACTAATCAGTTAAGTGGTCCATTATCCCCATTTCTATTCAACTTCATCATAGATGTACTAATGGACTTAACCCTAGCTCACTTCAGAGACTCAGGGATTGACTTTTTGTCACCAGGGAAGAATCTCGTTGACTTAGAATATGCGGACGATATAGTCCTTCTAGGCGAGGACTCTGACAAAATGCAGAGTCTACTGAACACCTTGAGCTGCAATCTAAGAATGTTTGGCATGCGATTCGCCCCTATAAAATGTAAGATGATGCTGCAGGATTGGACTTCACCGACTCCTAGTTTAGAAATAGGGAGTGAAGTGGTAGAGCACGTTGACCACTTCACTTACTCGGGAAGTACCATCAGCCCCAACGGGTTGATCTCCGACGAAATTTCAGCACGAATACAGAGGGCTAGGTTCGCATACGCCAGTTTACGCCGTCTCTGGCGTAGACGCGATATCCGACTATCGACCAAAGGACGTGTGTACTCTTCGGCAGTCCGCTACGTCCTCCTTTATGGCTAGCTGTGAGACCTGGCCATTGAGAGCAGAAGACATGAAAAGATTAGCTGTCTTCGATCATAGGTGTCTGCGTTCTATCTCCCGTGTGAAGTGGTATAATAAGGTGAGCAATATTGAGGTTAGGCGTCGAGTGCTAGGTAAGGCGGGGAAATCAATCGATGAGACTGTGAAATTACATCGACTGAGATGGTTAGGACATGTGTTACGTATGCCTAGTCATCGCCTTCCTCGACCAACAGGCAATGTTAGCTGATATAGGGTCAGACTGGAAAAGAGCTAGCGGCGGTCAAACCAAAACATGGCACCAGTCAATGAAATCTACAACAGTTAGTCTAAGCCACGTAAGAAGGTGTAGACTTCCTGGTTGGGGTCCTCGGGACGTTAAAAACCAATGGTTGGAAACAATTGGTGACATGGCTCAAAATCGTTCTCAGTGGCGCA